TAAGTCTAAATATGGCAATATCTGAAAAGAAATGGTTCGGTCCATTCAGTTACACATACTCCTCTCGAATTTTATAACTTATTTTAAAACACGAGGGACTTCTTTCAAGCAATGTGCTCACAGTGACAAAAATATATGTCTCAAGAAATCAAATTATTGAGATTAGAGCGAATTTCAGCACAATGAAGTCAAGAAACACTGATTTATTTATATACAACATGGAAGTCTAAGAAAAAAAAAATCCGATGGAGGCAAAAAACAGCTGTGAACTTCCAAGCTTGCTAAAAGAAGAAAAACAGAATTTGGAAGTTAAATTTGGGCACCGAATACCTCAAAAGAAACGAGAGCAGAAAGAAACGGAGAGGAAGCAGGAAGGGCGGAATTTTGAATAAAAAGAAAATTTGGAAGTCAAAAATGAGAATGTTGTACTGTACTCACAGTTTGCTATAACTATTACTGGGCGATTAGTTATAAACAAATGGCTAGTTCCAAGCTTACCGAGAACATAAAATATCGAAGGCCAACCGCCAGCAAATCCATATTTACAAAGTAAACCGGAAAGTGGCATTACAACTGTATTACCAATTTGCGCACCTGCAAACAAATTATTTGATCCTTGAAATTCCTCGAAATCCGGGATTTTAAGATATTTTAGAATTTTCTGGGACTAGAAAGAATAGCCGTACGCACCAAAAGACCCTCAATAGAAGCACGACTGATTGTCACCACCAGATATGGGCAAGCAGCAGTTGTAGCAAACAGGAAGCCCTTTCTTACAAATGAGTAGGAATCGGAAGGAAATCGAATATTCCAGCATTCTGTGCAACTTACTACCTGTTAAGCCACCGACCGCTGTGCCCAAGGCTAATTTTACTGTGTATCAATCTTTTTCTTGGCTGCTTTCCATAGGTAGCAGATACTTTTTTTATGGCGGTTCTTCTTTTCTCGCTTTTTGCGGGTTCCCCGCATCGACAGGTGTGAATACATCGAAAACAAATCAAAGGCGATTTTGATGTGTTCTGCTAACTTACTACCTGTTCGGGGATTATTACCTACAATACTTCAAACCCCTTGCTCGCTACAACACTCTGTGATAAGACAAAATTTACACTTGTAGGTGGAGCCAGAGGAACAGTAAGGACTTCGAATGATTAATGTAGGTAACATTTATCATGAGAAATATGCTAGTGATACAATTGTGAGGCTTACCAGCATAAGTAACACCGGTCAAGAGGCTTCTTTCGAGCGGTGGCGCCCACATTGAC